TTCCACTTCTCTGTGTGTGTGTGTGGCTGCTGCTTCCCTTTCTGCTAGTCTTTTGGGGTTACATAAAAGCCGGTCTCTTTCTGGCCATTACAGCTACATGGGGGAGTAGTTACTGCTGAGAGAAGCTTGAAATTTGAAGCAGAGTTGTCACAGACATTAGAAAGAACAGTCAGTCTGCGTTGGCAAGCTACTGAGTTAAGTCTCATTTCATACTGATGGGAATTTCAGATCTGATTATCTCCTTCCTCCCTCATTCCCAAACCTGCTGGTGTGTCTAATCCCCAGGCGGGTCCTCCTAAAGGCTGCTCAGCCCGAGGCTTGGGCTCCGAGGCTGTGGCCAGGCAGAGGATTTGGGGGTTGCTGCTCAGGGCGATTCGGTTACCCTGAGGTGCTCCAAAACCCAGCTCGGTTTTCCCTCCCCTTCCCCAAAACCGTGCCGTGTCCTCCCTGGGTGCTTTGTGCCGCAGCAGACACGGTGACAGATGACGGCACCGCCGGGGTGCAGATTTATTTGCAGATGGTCCCTGATCCAAGAGGTGGCGCAGGGAATTACCCAGGTGACTCCCACTAACGCTATGCTCCCCGCTCAAACACCGGCGAGAAAAACCTCGCCAGATCTCCCCGCCTGTTATTTACAGCCCTTTGTGTGCCTCGCACACCCCCGGCTCACCTTGCAGCACTGCCTGGGCTCCCTGCCTGCCCTACAAACCCCCCCAGACCCCCGGTGCTCCTCGCTGCCCCTCTCCAAACCACTCGTTAGGGAGCGTTTGCTGCGAGTTGCTGTTTGCTTTTGACAGAACCCGTGTAGGAAAGCAACTCCTCCATCCGAAAAAGTCCCCGCGTTGCTTCTCAATGCTCGTAATCAAAGTCTGTCTCCTTTATTGTCGGGAACAATCGCCCAATTTCCCTGTGCCAGCCCTATTTATTAAAAATAGTCAATAAGGCGCAGCTTTGTGCGCGAGGGGTTTATAGACTGGCAGCCCTCACTTGAAACGAACCAATTGTACTTGATTCTCATCCAGAGCTGGGATTCCTGTGTGATCTGCTCCAGCAGGGCTCACGCGGAGAGCAGTCAATGACTTGCTGATCAGGAATCTGGGAGCAGCAGGCTCGTCTTAAATTTACCTCGGGCTTTGCTCGAAGTGCTGGATTAGAGAAGGCAAAAATGGCACGCTGCGGGTTTTTTTTTCCCCCTTTACTGGCCCGTGTTGCGCCATACTTGTCCTCCAGCACCGCAAGAGCATTTACAGAAATAATTGCTGAAGTCAGAACCCGCTCAAAAATCGGTGAGCGAGGCGTTCAGGTGAGAGCTCGTCGTGGAGGGAGCCGCGTGAAGGAGCCCCACGCACGAATCCTGCTCTGCTGGAGAAACACGAGGGGTCCCAGCAGGCGGTGAGCCGGCCCGGGAGCTGCTGGGGAGGACGATGGATCCTGAAAACGAGGTGGCTGGAAGAGCACGAGGAATCACAGAGCAGCAGGCAAGGCTTTTGTCGTGCTCAGCAAACTTTCCGGGCCGGCGCGGAGCGGGCCGGGGCTGAGCAACGCCTGCGTAAGCGTTTTGGGAGAGGGGAAATTCTGAGGAATTCTGGCAATGCCCGGCTGGAGGTGGGGCGGCGTGCAGCTGCGGGGAGGCGAGGGAAGGGAAAAGAGCCACGGGGCGAAGCTGGGCTCTGCGGATGGTTTGGCTTTTAGTCACCGCCGTCCTAACACGGCGCGGAGCCTTCCCCCGTTCAAGCCGTGACTTGGAGGCTGCAGGAGCAGTGCTCGCCCCGAGCAGGTAGGGAGCTTCTGCTCCCAGTGGGGGAGAGCAAACCGTGAGGGAACCTCAGAAAAGCCTCTTGCTGCTTGTTTCGAAGAAGGTGTGAAGCAGGGCGATTAGGAGCGTTTTGGACATCCATCGATGCAGCAGCACTCGTGGATCTGGCGCACGAGCGGCACCAGCGCCTTTCCCAACAGCTCTCCCAACCAGCAACCAGCAAGGATCGCTCAACTCTTCCCTCACACAGCTACACTGGGTTTCACTGTGCTGCCTTTTTTTCCCCAAATTCCCCAGAAATCTGTTGCAGGCAGTTTCCCCTCTCCTCCCCCCGGCAGCGGGGCTGCTCCGTGCCCGCCGAGCGCCTCCCTCGCCGTGTCTAATAAGCAGCGCCCGCGCCCCAGACTCCAGCGCCGAAACAAATCTAATCTCGGGCATTAATAAGCGAGTGGAAATGCTTATCTTTGCCCAAAAGATAAGGATTTTTTTTTTTTTTGGCCTCGCGATTCATTTAAATTGCTTCTGAATGGTAGGATTTAGTCCTAATATATGGGCTGCGGTGGTTACGTGACAGTGACTAATGCCTGATGACCACTCTGGCGAGCTGGGGTGGAAAACTGCTGTGCTGTTCTGCCCTGACTACTGAAAGTAAAGCATCTCTGGCTGGCCCTTGCTGGTAGCATGCTGTCAATCAGTTTCTTAATGACTCTTTTAAAGAAGAAAAGCAAGAGCCTCCTGGAAAGCTTTTTTAGGCCTGGCCCTTCCTCGTTTCACTTCGTGTGGCCCTTCCCTGCCCCCAGCCGTGCGTCTTGTGCTGCCTTCGGTGTTTTGCTTCCTCCTTCTCCCTCCGTTCTCGTCTGTTGTCCCTTCTGCACTTTATTTTCTGCCCCTCCTGCTTTCAAAACACACTGCTCATTTTCCAATCCAGCCTATTAATCTCTGTCCCACCTACTCACGAGGCATGAAGGTTTTACAGGAGCCCATTAGCTGTTATCTCTGTACCTACCCGCCAAAGACTGATGGGGAAAAATGAGGTCTAACAGGGAAGTGCCGCCTTCTGGGGGCATTGACTGCTTTTTTTGTTCCTTGCTGATGTTGGCACCAGGCTCTGGAGGTCCCAGATTTCCTACCTGCTTGCTGCAAAACCACCTGAAACCTCAAACCTCCTTGTCCTTTTCCTCTAGGAAGAGGAAATTTTGCTTTAAAACCCTCACTGCGGAGTCTGGCTGTTCATCCATTACCCATCCCATCCTTCCTGTGCTGTGCAGGGTTCACATCTCCTTGTGCTGCCTCGCCAGCCCTCGTTTGGGGTTAGGAACAGCAGTGGGGCTGCGGAGCCGTCCCCGTTGGAGTCGTCCCCGTTGCCTTGGGAAGAGGCGGCGCCGTCGGAGCCATCACAAGGGTGAAACTCTGGATGCTGCAGAGTGTGGCAGGCAGTGCCGGGAGGGTGGGGGTGGCTGGCAGCACGAGCTAGGCTATAAAGGGAGGGTTTTTCTTAGCCCTTCTCGCTGCTGGCTGTCTTGCACCGGTGCAAATTCCTGCTGGAGTCGGGCAGTGCCCTCGCAAAAAAGCAGCTGGCACTGCTACTCCTCACGTTTGGTTTCAAAACAGGCTTAAGGGAAAGGCTTTGGGAGAGGAAAGGTGCAGACAACGTACCCAGGCTGGTGTGGGGTTGTGGATTCTGGGGGCATTTCTCCATTTTTCTGCCCCTTTTTACCCCATAAGTGCAGCGATTTGTGCTACCTGCTCCCCTCTGACCTGCCATACCTAGCATCATCTGCGTAATTTTTCCCTTTCTCACTGCAAGCTCACATCTCTCCCCCTCACAGAGCCATTTTTTTTCCTCTTGCTGTTTTCCTCCCATCTGTCCTGTGCCGTGGAAGCTTTCCAGCCGGGCTCGGTGTCCACCCAGGCTCTGCAGCTCCCACCGCATGTGCTGCCCTGGCCAAGCCCCGAGGAGCACGGGGGAGAAGCTCGACGCAGGCAGCCTGCAAATGCTGCCTTGTTTATGAGAGCTGCTTGTTGGTGCAGACTGCAGTCTGGGGGGAGCTGGGAAACTTTGTCTGGCTTAAAGCGCTAAAGCTGGCAAAAGATTGTAGGGCTTGGGCTGTAATCAATAAAACCCGGGGTGTTTAGAAGCGAAGGTCAGAGTCCTTCCTTATTTCGCCCTGTTCTTTAAATATCCCGGCAGTTACCCAGGGCTGCTGCAGAATTTGGGCACGGCGAAGAGCGACGCAGAGCTCGGTCCTCGGAGAATCTCTGCTGCTCTTGATTTGGAGGCAAAGCTCCCCTCTTCGGGGAGGTTTTGCAATTTCGGGGACCCTCTCCTGGCGCGGGGGGCTGAGCGCACAAAAGCCCCCCCTGCTCGGAGGCGTTGCGAAATGGCAACCTCCAGCTGTTTGTCTGGGAGATAGCTCTTGAACTCCTCTGCCTTAATGGGTCAAATTTAGCAATTCAAAATCTGGCTCGGGAGGTAATTAGGAGGGATAATGCCCACTTCTTCCTCTTAACACCCTGATAGAAAAGCATCCAGGAAGGACTCCTGGACCTCAAAGATAAGCTGCCAGCTGCCACGGAGACTATCAAAGGGTGGCTCAAAGTCAAGAGCAAACAGCTGATTTTTTATGGCGCTGGGTTTTTTGCTGCTGGTGACAGGAAGCCATGTTCCCCGAGCTCTTCGCTTCCTGTTTTATTTTTACACCCAGCCCCGGCAGATCAGCATGCCTATCACATGGGAGCTGGCTGCTCCTCTCGGGCTGCTCCTCTGCTGACCTAGAAAAGCCGTTCTTTCCCCTTCTAAATTAATCAGGAGGTCGGGCTGGGTTTGCTTTCGCCAGGTTTTGAAGGTTTGCTGCGCTCCTCGCTCTGTTTCCCCCAAGTTTCCCCCTCTGGTGGAGGCAGACGCTCCGGGAGATGTTTGCAGCTCCCCCATTTGGGCCTGGCAGCGGAGATTTGTCGGTTCGAGGCACGTAAAAGCACTTTCTGCAGCTTAACTTCCTGCCACTTGTGTTTCCTTGATTTTTAAGAAAGCCCTGGAAGCTCGGCCTGCCCGTGGCACAATCAATCCTGATTCCTCCGAGCGCGCTCTGGCCCTGCATCCTGATTACAGCTCCCTCAGCGCTCCGCTGCCCCGGCACGAAAACAATGGTCCAGTGTAAACCTCGGCCCTGGGGGATTTCCCAAGGGAAGAGGGGTGCAGCCTGCAGGATAAGGCACAGCCACCAGAAAGTTTCCTGGTCAGCTGCGAGCGCTTCCTGTTGTTCCAGGAGAGCCCTGGCCGTGCTGCTGCAGGAGGGAGGCACCGTGCCCGCCTCGGCGTGCTGCAAGAAGCTGTGCGGTTTTGTGTTTCGGTGTTTTTTTTTTTAACCTCTCCCGTCTTCATCCTCTCGCTTTAAGCAAACCTGAGACGCCGTGCGTGAGCGCGGGAGGAAGGAGACTGCTCCGAGGCGGCGGATGGGTAGGAAGGGAACAACGGCTGCGGCGGTGCCAGCAGCACCTTGCGCGTGGGCGACGGCGTGTAGATCCCAGCGCTGCCTCTGTACCTGAGCTGGCGGGGCTCCGCTGTCACTGCAAGTCGTGGAACAGCAGGATCTTTATGTCTGAAGAACCAGTTTTATAAGGGTGGGGAGGAGGGGGGGAAAGGAGGCTTATAAATAAAGCCATTTGAGAGCAGGAAAAACGAACACCATGGCTCTGGTGTGCCTGGAATTTGCGGTTGAGTAATCCTTTCCTGTTTCTTTTTTGGGTTGTTTTTCATCTTTCAGAACAGTGCCTGAAGCAGGTCCACCATGCCGTTAGTAACGAGGAACATTGAGCCAAGGCACCTGTGCCGTCAGACGTTGCCTAGCGTTCGAAGCGAGCTGGAATGCATGACCAACATCACCCTGGCAAATGTCATTCGACAGCTGGGCAGCCTGAGTGAGTACCATGGCGAGCCTGCGCGTTGCCCTCAGGAGTCGCTAGTGCTCTTTATTTAGCTCCCTTTCTACTCTTGTGTTCCTATTTCTCCCCCATCTGCCTTCCCTGGGTAATGCTAAAATGTTTTCCTAAAGAAATCCGATGCTAATTTCATCTCCCTGGTCCCACTGCCTTCCCCATCGAAAAGAAAATGGGGAGGGGGGGGGCGTGTGTGTGTGCGTGCGTGCGTGTGTGAAGGGCTGCGGCGAAGCTGCAGATGGAAGGATGGAGCACAACTCAGGCTTGTAAAATGGGAGGCTCTCAGAGCAGCCAGGATCTTGTGCCGGAGAATGTGCCTGTAATTGCACGCGCTACTAAATGGAGCTTGACTGTGTTGAATCTGCAGCGTGTAAGTAGTCTTATTTTTAATGAAAGATAATTAAAGCGCCCATGCAGAAGGCGCCTGCTTGCCCCTGCTGGTTGTTACCTTGGAAGACCCAAAGTCCCCAGCCTGAGCGAAGCCCTGCCTCCGGAGCGTGGGGGGCTTGGGGCTGCTCGCTCAAATGGCGGCGCAGGCTGGAGCCGTGCCGAGCTCAGCTCTCCGGTGGGCTGACCGACAGCCTTGGAAAGGCCAGAGGGAAAACGTGGGCCTACGTGCCATAGGAGGAGAGAAGAGTTAATTGTGGTCTCTCTGGGATGACTCCTTTCCTCTGTCGAAACGCTCGGGCTTCTGATGAGCCACCTTTGCCCTTGAAGCAAACCTTTGATAATCAAACGAATATATTGTTTGGCTTCGCGGCGGTGTCTGCGAGCGCTCCTGCTTGCTCTGCAAAGCGAGCCCCTTGGCTTTTGCAGCAGCATGAACGTGGCGGGGGAGCTTTGGGCACGGCCTCTTGCCAGCAGGGAAAAACCAGGGCTGTTGGTAAAACCTGGGCCCGTGTTTGCTGCCAGCCAGTATCGCGTTCGGTCGGGCTGCAGACGTGTCGCTGCGCGGGCAGGGCCGGTCTCCCCGCTTGTATCCGACTGACCCTTGCTCGTTTATTAGGTCTGGTAGCCAAGATGGTTGTGGGGTGTGAGTTAAATCCATCTCGTGCATGTGAAATGAGGAGGAAGGAGGCAGGAAAGCCGTGCAAATCTCAGCTGCAGAGCAGGCTAATCCCAGTCCAAAGGCACGCGGGGGGTTAGCGTGGCAGCGCCCTCGCAGATCTTCCAGATTTAGACCTCAGATATTCAGAGCTTCCCTGCCTCTGCCTCATCAGAGGCAGCAAAGCTCTGGAAGGCAAACTGCAGCCCGGTTCCTTTAGCAGGGAGCTGCCCCGGGATGATGCTGGACCAATCTCAGGTACCTCGAGGGGAGCACCGGAGGGGGACCCTCGGGAGAGGTGGCTGCGGTGACACCGGCGTGCTTCTCCCTGACAGAGGGCACGAGGCAGGCGGGGAGGAACGAAGAGCACCACCTCCTACCCGCTTCCCTAGGGTCAGCAGTATTTGAAACGAAGCAATATTTAGACTAGCTGCTGCGGAGCGCTCGCCCCCAGATGACCAACCTCCTGCCCCCCTGCCTTCCCTCCCTCGCTTGGGAGGAAGAAATCTGCTCCTTCCTCGTACGGTGAGCATTACAGGGACGTAAAGCAGGTTCAGTAGGCTGTGACAGCCCTGTCAAGTGAATAATCAGCCAAGCCTAGTGCACCACAGTCTCTTTACAAAGATGCAAACATAAATCTTGTCAAACTTTCATATTCCAGTGAGTTTAGCCTTCGTTACTATCACAGCTGGTAGCACTTTGTATAAGTCGACTGTGCGTTTGTGTGTGGTTTTATAGAATCCACAAGCTAAAGATGGAAAGACCTATTAAATCATGCCGTCTGTCTTCCTGCCAGTGCATGACAGAGATAATTCTGATTGTGAGTTGCACTTTTGCAGTCGAAGTAACTAAACCAAAAAATGAATCTCTGCCTTGCCCCATCTGAAACTGCACGTGAAACACGGAACGGGAGATCCTGGCTGATGAGGCGGTGCCGCTGCGCTTACACAGGCAGGGCAATGCACACCTCCCCTTCTTCTTCCAGGGTCAAAACCACCACAGGCGATGCTGTTTGCGTTATTTTGTGCTTGAAATGGGCTGCTCAGCCTTGCAAACCAAAGACCTTATTTTTTCCCTAATGCTTGCTGCAGTTCCTTGCGAAATTTGGAAACGATTTCTCAGTTCTCATTAAGGTCGAACCGAATTACGACTTTTCCCTTTCGAGCTGTTGCTGGGGGAGTGTCAAATGATCCTACGGTTAAACGCTCGCTTCCTCTGGTCAAACAGGAGAGCCTGGGCTTCGTGAAACCTGGCTACAGCAAGAGCTAGCTGGCCCTTAGGTCTCCAGAAATAAAATCCTCCCCCTGAGTTTGAGGCAGGCTGGCTGGGCTCGTTAATGGAGCATATGCGGAGACGGTGTTGTCTGGGAGAGTGGAAGGAGCTCAGCTGAAGTCAACTTCCAGCATTTGCTTCCTGCAGACACTTCGAGCTGGCGTTGCCACCTAGAAGGCTGGAGGAGGCTGATTTTTATTTTTTTTTTAACCTGGCTTGTTCTCTGGGCTTGGCAGTGGAAGGAGAGCTGCATGGGACTGCGAACGAGTCGCTGATAAGGGGAGGAGAATGGACAGCTTCTGCTGGCGATGGTGTCAGCCAGGCAGCTGAAGGTGTCTGTAGAGGCTTTGGCGGGTGCCCTTGCTCGCCATGTGGAAGAGGCTCTTGTCTTTGTGATGTGACTTGGTGCAGACGCGCAGCTTTTCCAGAATTGCTGTGAAACTCGGGCTTCCAACTGGTTCTCCTTCCTTGAATGTCGGCGAGGATCTTTAGGAGTAACAGCTTCCAGAGCAAACTGGCGGCCATCTGATGATGTGCTTCAAAACCAGGCTGCTTATTGGGAGCAGCCTCGTACCCAGCAGCCGTGGCTGGAAATGTTTCCCATCAGTGGGAGCTCCACGGGCCGACGTCTGGTGCCAGTGCCGAGTCTGCTCGGCTCAGCCTTGTCCTCAGCACGCTTGGGGTTCCCGGTTTGAGGTTACGCCTGAGAGCAGAGCAGAAAGCTCCCTGCAGGCTCTTGGTTTGCTTTCAGTTTGCCTACCTGTGGTCAGCTCCTGTTTCTGTGTAGATTTGAAACTCCCGAGGACAGGGCACATCTTTTTGTTATGCTTCGAAGTGGTGCAGCGAGCTCCTGATCCAAGCCCCTGGGCGCTCGCGCCGTCCAAACGATGGATGATGTTTGTCATCGCGGCCCACTGGGCAATCCAAGCTGTTACAGAGAGAATATTCCCGTTTAAGAAGTTCCCCTTTGCTTTTGATTTAGAATAAACGTGAATGCATCATTTTTTCAGACACTGCCACCTGAAGGAACAAAAGGGTCAGTGCTTTCGTCTGTGGTTATAGCTCAGGCTGTAGGATCAAGGACTTGGTCTGCTCTCTAGTTGCAGAGCACTTTGAGCTTGTAAATACGTGCCAGTTACCCTGGAGGCAGGCCTGCTGGAGACTGGGAGCCTTTGAGATTCTCCAGAGCAATAAAAACCTAACTGTGTTTTCTTGTCTAATAAACAGAACAGCAGAGGATCTTAAAGGACCGGCAGACCCATCCAGATTCAGACCAGGATAATGTTCTCAGCCCCTCTTTTTTTCATCACTTTAATACTGACTTGACTGTGTGTTTCCATTGTTCCTTTATGGCCTAAAGATCCCTTAGAAATGCCAGGTTTTGGTGGAACAGAGCATTGTCTTCCTGGGTATTAAACTTAACGCTGATAAACTTGAAAAGAAAGTACGGTTCTTTCTTCTTCCTTCTTTCCTTCCTTCTTCAGGAGAACAAATCGGGAGGTTGCATGTGGGCTGTGGCTGGTGGGGGTAACGTGGACGCTTTAATATTGCAGGTAAATTTGCAGAAGACATATTTGGAGAGTTGTTTACTCAAGCCAACACTTTTGCCTCTCGGGTGAGCGTTCTAGTCGAGAGAGTTGACCGCTTGCAAGTCAAAGTCACTCAGCTGGATCCCAAAGAGGAAGAAGGTAATGGAGTGGAGCAGAGTCCTTGCAGACCAAGCGTGGTAAAGATCCTCGGTGAATCAGCATGCTTGGTTCATGACCCTACAATAAGCCCGGTGCTGTGATTGGTGTTGGAATGGCTTCTCTTGGGCTAAGAGGGGCTGTTTCCTCCCCTCCCAGAAAGCACCGTGCTGCTCGTGTGGGCAGCCTTTCTGGCTGAGTCGAGACGTGGTTGTTAGCAAGTCTCCACGTGGAAACTTGCTCCTCAGCAGCTCGATAGCCATGCATTTCTTGGGTCTTGGGTGCAGGGGTTTGCAATCACATCTGTAGAGACACGGCTCTTGAGAGTTCCTGCAGCAGATCTTGGCACAGCATGATCTGAGATTTGCTGGATTTCCCGAGAGATCTGTGGGAAAAGGAACCTGACCTTAAGAAGTGCTAAGCACGCCAAGAACTCCAACTGAAATCAGATGTTTGCTACTTGATCTCCAGTGTCATTGGCCTGGGTCAAGCTGTTCTTCACTTGCTCTCTCCTCTCTCTTACAGTCTCTCTGCAAGGCATCAACAGCAGGAAGGCCTTCAAAAGCTCCACTACTCAGGACCAGAAGCTCTTCGACAGAGATTCTCTCCCAGTTCCTGTCCTTGAAACCTATGGGACCTGCAATACTCCTCCACCTCTCAACATTCTCTCCCCATACAGGTAACACTGCAACGCCTCCTTTGGCCCTGGTGCCGTTACAGAGCACCTCTTCCTGCCAATTTGCTGAGGAGGTCATCTCCCATCCCGTGCTTTATTGCACTAACAGTCTTCAGTGGGAAATATTGTTGCCAAACTGAGGTCCACCAGGAAATCTCCATCCTTGGGATTACCTGAAACTTTGCTTTTGAGGCTGTACAAATGAGCATAGCTCGAAAATTATACGTTTGGTTACCCGCTGTCACTTTTGTGACTGCCTTGGGGCAAGGCTTGGCTGGCACTGCATAAACATGCTAGGTGTTGTGCAGATGATGCATTTTTCCTGTGCTTCGCTGTAGCCCTGTGGCTCCTTTCCAGAAAGCCGCAGTGCAAACTGCAGAGCGTACATCTGTATGTGGCTCTCACCCAGGTGGGTGCAGCAGACTCCTGTAGGTCTGGAGATACGTCCTGTGGCCTTCAGTGCCTGGCCTGAGACATCTGGTGTGACCTACGCGGGCTGTGTAACCAGTTCTTAGCAGTCCTGCCGTGCCATTTCATCTCGTATGAAGTAGAAGTAAGGGGGTCAGAATGCAGAGACTTAGCCCACATCCATAAATATCTTTTGAACAGGTAAAAAGTAATTACAGATAGCTGGAGGCAGCTGTCTTCTGCCAGACGCGGCTGCACTGCAAAGTAGGAGAGTGTGTGTGTGCGTGCACATGCGCTCATGAGTTTCAAGGACGCTGCCGGTCTGATTTAGGGTTCCTGGGCTGGGAAGAGCTTTTTTTCGCACCAAAAATACAAGACAAACAAGTGGGAGTTGGAGTGAGAGACCTGCTGCTCTCCTGGCGGTTGTTCAGAGCGGCTGAGTTCTGCAGGTGCCGAAATCCAGAGTAATGGAGAGTTGGTGTGAGGGCGAAAGCGATGGCAAGTAGGAGAGCTGGGACGAGCGGTGGCTGCTGTGGGGCGGGGGGGCTGCTGCTTGTTTTGAAAAGGAGGACGGAGGCGAGAGCAGAGTGTTTGACCTTCTCACTGCAGATTTTTAAACTATTATCTGGGGTTGTGACTTGTGTTTTCTTTGGGCTTCAAACAAACGCGTGACTTGGCCCTTCTTTGTGTGTGTTTTTCCCTTCCCTGTTCTAGGGACGATGGCAAAGAGGCACTTAAATTCTACACGGATCCTTCGTATTTCTTTGACCTTTGGAAAGAGAAAATGCTGCAGGACACCAAGGATATTATGAAAGAAAAGCGGAAACACAGGGTGAGGAAATGGGAGATCTCTGCCAACAGAAGCATGTCAGGGTGGGAAAGGAGGTGGGAAGTGTTAATGAACCATGGACTCCAAAGTTGCTATCCAAAATTCAGGTTTGCTCTCTTAAGCTCTTCAGGGATCAATTCAGAGAAGTTTTTATCTGGTTTACTTTCATCCCTGTTAATTAAAAAAAGACAACAAAGATATCCTTAATCTGTTTTTCCAAATACCACCTTCTTTGTATGGTTATAATGGCTTAATTTGTAGTCTTCAAACATAGCGCTGGTGCAGTCAGCAGGGGAGAAAGTTGTATCGGTCTTTTTGGTACTTCTGACATCACACGGGGGTCTGTTCAGCACTGAAGTGGTGCAAATCCCACTGCCCCAACATCATCGTTTCAGGTGCTGTAAAAAATTCTGCTGTGGGAGTGTAAAGATTGGCGAAAATATCCCTTCAGGAGTGCAAAAACAGGCCATAATGTTAAATTAGGGGCAATCAAGAGGCTTAGCAAAACCCTCTGAGCTGAAAGCACCAGGTAGAGCTCCTGATTTGATTGCCTGAGGATTTGGACCCCTCTTCCCCAACACCGAAACCCACACCATAAAAGATTCAGTTTGAGCATACTTTATTTAGCTTTTGAGCAACAGAAGTATTAAATATCCAAACAGATCGTGCTCCTTCTAAATCAAAATAACAAAGGAGGGAGCTGGGGCATGTCAGAACACAGAAAAGGAGCAGTTCTTTGTGGGCAAGCATCCACATTGCACACCCAAAGCACTTAACGCCAGCAAGGTGCTGGTGAGATTTGGCAGTCTCGATGCAGAGGCCAGAAGCTGAATTGATGAGGGGCAGCTGAGCTTTCCCTCTGCCCTCCAGGTGGTCATGCCAGGGTGTAACAATGGCATCATGTCTGGACTGCGCTAAGGAAACTGGATGCTGTTTTTTTGATGCTGTCTGCGCTCCGTCTCCTTTGTTTGGGAGGTCTTTGGAGCTTTCAGCAATCGGGAAAGTGAATGAAAAATCCTGGCCCTCTTTGAGAATGTATTTTCTTGCAACTGCTGCGTCTCCGTCCTATCCCTTCCTGTTCCCAGTGAGTTTAAAGCAAAAAGAAGGCTTTTGTTTGATCCCTCCTCCCTTTCTTTTCCTCCTGTAGAAAGAGAAAAAGGAGAATCCTAACCGAGGAAATGTGAATCCACGGAAAATTAAAACCCGGAAAGAAGAGTGGGAGAAGCTGAAAATGGGACAAGAATTTGTTGAGATAAAGGACAAACACGGTCCTGCTGGGTAAGCAAGTCTGGGGCTCTCTGCTCAGCTCCCCAGCGAGGGGGAGCAGGCGGGCGTTGTTGATTGTAATGCAGTGCACCCTGCTCTGCAGCTTCTCCAGATCTGCTGCACAGCGTGGATCGATACCGCCACTAATCAGATTCTCCAAAGTAAATCCGTCTGCTGATTTAAAATTTGCTAAATAAATCAGGGAGCTACACGGTTGAAACAAGGTGGCAGGAACAGCTCCAGCAGCAGGTCTGCTCTCAGCTGCCTGCCTTGCGGGCACAGAGGTGTCGAAAGCTGCGGCTCCCCGTCCCGGCGCAGCGCCCTGCCCATCGCACCGAGCCTCTGGGCCTGACGCTGAGGAGCAGGGTGGCATCCTGGTAGTAGCGTGTGATTGCTTTGTTACATTTCACAAATGGCTCTTCACACCCCAAAGTTGAAGCGGGGGCAGTCCCCAGCCAAGTATTTCGAGCTGCAGATCTGTCTTTAGCTCTGCTGGCTTGGGAATTCATTTAACTTTTGACACCAGGCAGGCTGGAAGCAGCCCGCCTTCCCCACAATGCACTTCTCGCCTGCTTGCTCCTTGCAGCTTCCTTTCATATAAGAAAAATCTCTCTTTAAATCACACTCTCCAGCTAAAAATAAAACTTGCTTTTAGTTTAATAGGAGAGCAGGTTTGGTTTCTAGCAGAGGAACCGAGCAGCACAACAGCACCATTTTCTTGCTCCTCTGTTTTTTTTGTGGGCATGCGTCCACACGTTTGAATTCTGTTGTGGTTCGGAGCCCCCAGGAATTGGGGGGTTTCACCACCCCACCCCACGAGCTCACTGAAACTTGAACGTGAGCGTGGTCTCTTCCTTCAGCAATATTTCAGCTTTGGATGTTTGCTTTTAACGGCATCGCTGTTGGGTGTGCTTTCTGATAATCTATGCTCAAGCTTAATTTGTAATATATTTTAGTGCCTCTTAGTTTTTGTCGCTGACGAGAGGCGCTGTAACTTGGAGTCTATCAAGTGCAAGCTGGTCAAAATGCACTCAGAAGTTGTTTTTTTTTTTCCCTAGAATCAAATGTTAAGAAAAATATTTGGTTTTTTGTTCAATAAAATATACTCATGTGTTGTTCTGCTGCGTGGCAGCAGTAAATAAACATGAGAGCATCTAGCCAAAGAATTATGCAGAGTAAACTGTACGTGGCTCTTCATGTAGGATGCTCTGAGAAATAGACTCCTTTCTTTTAAATGTTGCTCTAAGGTTTTGTTTTGTGTATCCTGTTGTGGTGGTTGATAAGGTCCCACCTGAAGGCAGGTCCAACTGTGCTGTGAAAAGCCATTCCTGCTAGGAAACCTAATTTCTAAATCTTGCAGGTTGCTCCATCTACGTGGTTAATATCACTGCTGTCTGCTGGTTGAAAGTCGCGCAGCTGCGTGGCTGTAACCCTTCCAGGAGGCAAAGCGAGGGGGAAAACGACCTTTAGATGTTACCTTGCACTCCTAAACACGGTGCTTGCCTTGTTCCCTCAGGTACCCCTCTAACATGGTGTATCAGAACGGCAGCATCGGTTCCAACGAAAGCATGGACGTGAACTGCTACCCGCCACCGCCGCAGACTGACTCTATTGTGCCACCACCTCCTTCGTTCCCAGATGACAGCCTGCCTCCACCCCCGGTGGAATTTAGGTAAGCCTACGGGATCCCTTCTGTCACCGAGGAGTAGGAGGTGGTGTAAAAGGATGACATGAGACAGGCTGAGACAGTTCAGCATAACTTCCTAACGGGTGTTGTATGGGAACCAGGATGCTCCTGTCTGGAGGGGAAGCGCAACTGCAGGCAGGGACAGTGGCAGCTCAGCTCTGCAAATCCCAGCTGCCACGGTTGGTCCTGTACAGGAGGGCAGAACGGGCTTGGGAGAGAACTCGAGCAGACTCGTTTGGCTTTCTGAAAGACTGGGGTCCCACTCAGTGGTCTGGCTCTGTTGCATGCTTTGCTTCAGTCCCTTTTTTCCAGTTCAGTTGTTCCAGACTCGAGCTCCTGATAGAGCTTTGCAGAGAGCAGCTTCTTTCGCTTGTGGTTTTTCTTTGTTGTTGCCATTTGCCCTGTGATTTTTGACAAACTCGTGACGTGGGCACTGAAGATGTAGATGTAGTTAAATTTAAAGGACTCGAACACGCCAGCCGACTTCTTCCTGGAGACTCCAGTGGAAGTTGAGGGCAGCTGCTTTGTACCAGATGAAATGGTGACTTCCAGTCACCTCTGGAGAGGAGAATTACGGTCCATCGGTGGCTTGAGACACACGGATTGAAACAAGGGAGTAGCTTTTTTTTTCCTTTAAGGCAGTAACAGTATGTCTGATAGACAGGACTGCGTTAGCTTGTCTCCATCTTATCCAAAGGCAACAGTGCTGCAGAAAAGGCTCTTCTGATGTGTCAAAGAGACCAAGCACTCCACTCTGCGGCATGTTCCTCTAGGGCAGAGCAGAAACGAGCTTTCAGATGAAGCTTAAGCTGCCTTGTGCGGTTGCTTAGATCTCTGCCTAGCCACGGAGATCTTCTCCTATCTGGTTTTGTTTTGGTGGTTTGTTTTTAAAGAATCCTGGGAGCGAGGTTTGATCTGCAGTAGCCTGTCATGGATCAGCGCTGCGCACTGCCAAAAATTGTGACATTTTCATGGCAAACGTACCAAACCTCTCCTGCCTTACAGTGCAACGAGATGTCGGATTAGGGCTTGCTTTACCCGTACACAGGACGTTACAATATCTTCTGGGTGGAATTGTCTTCTGGTACAGCACAGCCACCATAAGTGGGAACTCGGTGTTTTCCTTAAGAGCACGTTGGGTCTCCACGTCCTCCTCTCCAATCCCCGTGGCGAGCTCTGAGACGCGGTTGCTGCTCTCCAGCTCGGAGCCGTGGAATCCAGTGCAGAGATCTGTTCCTAGCAGGTGTTTGGAGCATATGCTCTGCTGGCACACCCACCAGTCCTTGTGCGATTTATCACGGTAGACATCCCTGCTTGACGTGTCATAAGGCTGACCTCAGCATGGAGGGGCAGTGGCTCGCGGTGCTGCAGCTCCTCAGCCAAGAGGCTGCTCGGAGCTGGGGTGTGACGCCCGGCCCCTGGCAGGGAGGGGAGATGGCTCGTGTTCTTGTCAGCCTGGGAGATGGGACAGATGATGGTGTTCCTGCCAGTCCCCAGAAGCTCTCCTTTGTCCTCGTGGTGTTGGCCAAAAGAAACGCTGCAAGAAAACTAAAACTAAGGACTTGAGGTCTCGTGGAAGCAGCAGTTAAGCCCAGAGGTTAGGTTTTGTCCAGGCTGCAGCAAACACACGGGGTCTGCATTAACACTGAGACTGTGTGGTCTGACCTGGCCGCAGAGCTAACAGCCTCCTGTCTCTCTCCTTCTGTTGCGACAGCTATCCTGTAGACAACCAAAGAGGTTCTGGTTCTGGAGGGACCAAAAGATCCAGCCTGGTCAGCCCGAGTCACCCGCCGCCAGCTCCTCCCATCGGATCCCCCTCCGGGACCAGGCCGGGCTTTGCTCCCCCTCCGGCGCCGCCTCCGCCACCACCGCTGATGGGGATCACGCCCCCGCCGCCCCCTCCCATGGGTTTCCCATCCCCGGGGACCCCACCGCCCCCTTCGCCCCCTTCCTTCCCTCCTCACCCCGAGTTTGCAGCCCCGCCACCACCGCCGCCCCCTCCGGCGGTCGAATATGCCAGCGTGCTCCCACCTCCGCTGCCCCAGCCGGGCAGTGGCAGCGCGCCGCCTCCCCCTCCACCACCACCACCCCCTGGCCCCCCACCGCTGTCTTCCAGTGGCCTGGATGGGCCCCCAGCACCACCTCCACCCTCGGACACCTCCGCCTCCAAGCCCAAATCATCCTTGCCTGCGGTTAGCGATGCCAGGAGCGACCTGCTTTCGGCTATCCGTCAAGGTAGGTTTTTGTTTCCATGCCCGCTTTCTCCACAGCCTGCGGAAGAACCCTCAGTGTCCTGAGTGGGAATTGGCTCACGAGCAGGGCTGGGACTGTCCTGCACCTTGGGGCTGGTCCCCTGGGGGTCCTCCTGGTGTGCCCACCCCGATGGCACCCTGTCCTGGGTTGCATCCCCCTGCTTGCGCTTTGGAAATGGCCGTGTCAGGACTGGTGCGGTCTGGGTTTGCGGAGCAGAGTGCGTGGCAGCGGTGTGACCCTGCAGAGGAGCTCAGAAACCATTCCCTTGCCATTCCACCTGCCCACCCAGCCTGTCTTGGCTGTCATTCACTATCAGTGTTATTCTGCAGCGTGTCCAATGCTCGCTGGCACAGCGCAGGCTGTCTTGCTCAGAGGACTGCGTCACAGGATGGCTGCCTGGGAGCCTGCAGCGTGACCAAAGCCTTTGAATGATCCCCTCCGTTGCCTTCTTCCCAACAGGCTTCCAGCTCCGCAAGGTGGAAGAGCAGCGGGAGCAGGAGAAGCGGGACGTTGTGGGCAACGACGTGGCCACCATCCTGTCGCGCCGCATCGCTGTGGAGTACAGCGACTCCGAGGACGACTCTTCGGAGTTTGATGAGGACGAGTGGTCGGATTAACCACGGTCCTGCCCCCTCTGCTCCTTTCCTTCCTGGGTTAACAACTTCCTAAAGAACCGGGTGGCCAAACCCGCCACCGTTTCCTTTTTCATCCTGTAACCAAAGATGTGCCAAGGGTTTTCAGACAACCACCAGCATGTCTCCCCTCTCCCTCCCCCTCCAGCTTTGGCAGGACTCTGTGCTCTTTGGGAAACCTTTCCGAAAGGTCTCCTCGTGGACAGTGAGGATGGCGGCGCTGGGATTTAGCTGGAGGGAGCGTAACGGTTGCTTATTTAAGAGAGAGCTAAACCTCCAGATTCTCGATGCCACCAGGCAGAGCACATAAAACCCCTCCATCCTGAGGGATTTTTAAAGTAAAGATGGATGATCCTGTTGTGGCCACGCGGCCTTTCAGATGAAGGACATTTTCAGCTAGTTTTCTCATTGCAACAGCAGACAGTTGATCTAATGGCTCTTCCTTTCCAGTGAATCCTGGTAGTGCTGCAAGAAAATGGGCTTTAAATGTCTGTTCTCTGCTGCATCCCGCTGTCAAATAATCAGTTTTTGGCAATAGTGCACAATTCTTTCCCCTCTGACCCCCCTCAGTATTTCCAGACTTCCCCCCCCCCGTGGGTGCGCTTCCTGGCTCTAGGGCTGCAGAGCGCATTGGGTGCAATGTGAGGAGGGGCTTGCTGGTTTTTTAAAAGCTGCCTTTACCTTCCTTAAATCTCCTGGGCTGCTTTGCCGAGCCTGCCAGCGGAGGCTTTGCACAGAGGGATGCAAAGCCCGGGCAGAACGGTTGCTTGGCTTCCTGCTCCAGGGGGGAGCAGAGCTGCTGCCCCGCTGAGCCGTGTCTGGGCGGTGGCAGCTCCGCGTTGCTGACCTCTCTTAAGAAAAAAAAAAGAAGTGCCTAGAGCAGGGAGGTGGTGGGGGGAAGGTTCTCTGACCGCCAGGCACTTTGGCCTGTTCAGGGCAATGCTGCAGCCAGGTGGAAGAGGTGCTTTTCTGGTGCAGTGACCATGAGTTTAAACAGGGACTGGAGTAGCAGAAAATGCTGGTGTTCCCCTCGCTTCCTCTTCCCTTCCACCTAAGGAAGGGAGTTTGTGTGCCTAAAAACATCCCGGGTGTGAACCTGAGTTGCCCTTTGGTTACATCACACCTACCCTACGTATTTTTCCCCGCGTTTTGTTATTGTAGTTAATTTTAAGAAAATGTTTCTTCCCCTGGCTAACCCTACAGATTCCCCGGCTGCTCACTACAGATACCGTACTGGCAGGGGGAGAGAACGGAGAACTTGAACTTGCTGACCTAGGTGTTCCTGCTGTTTTATATTGCCTAGAATATATGCATATCTTGGAAATCCAGAAACCAGCCCCCCAATGCTGCAGATGTGCTTTTTCTATGTTCATTTGGATGTGACTGTCTGCAAGGGGTTCCAAAGCCCTTCGGAGGTCCTGGGCCCAGCTGTTGTGGGGTGGGACCAGCAGCACATCCCACTAAGACCAAATCTCCGACCTCTTTGCCTTTCTTAACTGTCAGGTATTTTGCCAACCTGTGCCTGTTTGCTCTTCTCCAGCTTGCCTCGTTTAATGATGTTGCTGATACCTGGAATGCCAGGCCCAGCCCGAGGCTGCTAGGTTGCTGAAAATCCTTCTTGGGCTTTGATTGATGATTTCAGCTCGTGCCACTGAGTCCTTACCGATTTCTTGCGTGCGTTTGTGCATTTTTTTAATCTTTGACAGAGCAGATGAGGGCCTGGAGGATGGGTTTTTCCAGGGCGTGGGTCGAGCTGAGATCCAGCGCGACCCTGAGCACGGTCAGGAGAGATTTACTGGACCTCTGCGCCGCTCCGTTTTGTCAGCCAGTCAGCTGCAGAGCAGGATGCAAAGGGCACAGCCAGCGAGGCATCCCGGCGGGCTGGGAACATCTGAGCAGTGCTAGTTCCAGGTTCTGGAAGAGGGAACAAACCCCTCGAGTGCCAGTGAGCCGTTGTGCAGTGGAGGGACTTGGAAATGCAAACTGATTATTGCTGCAAGCTGGGGAAGGGGGGGCTGGAGGAGAAGCGCTGCCGCTGTTTTTCTGCTCTTTCTCTGAGCATCCTCCTCTGGCTTCTCTTGGAGACAGGTTCCTGGGGAAAACGGACCTTTAAGCTAACCCAGGCTGACAGCGTTATCACACAGGGAAGCGAGGAGCTCACAAATGCCAAACCTGGGTTAATTTTAAATTGCCTTAAGTAGACTCGGCCCCCGTTGGGCAAAGGGGAGCGAGTCTTTCTGTCGCGTGAAATGCAGGGCAGTGCCATGTTCCGTGCTGTCAGGCAGGGCCGTGCCTCGGGGCGTTGGGGACAGGCTTGCCCCACGCTGCCTGTTGCACAAGGCTGCTGTGTGGGTGGGTGATCGGCACGGCCGCGGGTGGAGCCCGCTCCTCCGACTGCTTGCGGAGCCCTCCTGGCAGCGGGAGGGACGCTGCTTTGTCCGTGCAAGCCTGCTGTAACCACGGCTGCTTGCAAACCTGCATCCCAAGGTGAGAAGCAAAATGGTTGAGATCCTAAGCAGAGGGAGTGTGGGCGAGCGGGAGGGCTCCTTTGTTTTGTTTGAAGGCTTTGACCATGAAAAGCTCCGGCACGGAGAGCCCTGAGAAACAACTGGTGTAAAGTGACCGTCTGAGAGTATCATTGCAAAATTGCAGAGCGCTGGGCCACCAAGCAAGCTTAATATTTCTTAAACCAGTAGGGGAGGAGGAGAGGTGCCAAAAACAACCTTTGCAAGGCAGAGCAGCTGCGCTGTACCGCAGGGCTGCTGCCCCACATAGACCAAGGGCCTGCGCTCCACTCCCCTGCCATTTTTGCTGCTCATCGCTTAGCCCTTCCTTTCTTTCCGCATCAGGCTGGCGTAGACAGAGAGCCTCGAGCATTTCACAAAGCCAAAAAGAGAGAGCTGGCACACCCGATCCTCCCCTCTCTGCCTGCTGGGGGGGGGGAAGGAAGCCCCCATCTTCCCATTTCAGCCCAACTCGTGTCCGCGGGGAGCCGCCGAGCCGGCGCAGCCATTTCGCCCGGCCGGGAGCCCTTTGCTGCGGGCGTGCACGTCGAGTTGGGGCAGGCCACAGCCTCCTCTTCTCCCCGGCGCCTCGCTCCTGGTTAAACATTCTCCCGGTGTCCTCGCCCGCAGTGCTTGGCTGCCGGCAGCCTCTCCCCCGCCACCCCTCCTTCGTGCTCGCAGGGAAAGCCTCGTCCCGGCTCCCCGGGCTCAGCCCGGAGCCTCATCTGCAGTCGGTGACCTTCACCGCTTTCTCCTCTCCTTATCAGACCCAAAGCACCAGACCAGATCGAGGGAAGGGGCTCCTGGAGGTCCCAGATGGCCGAGAAGCCGTGCCGAGTGTCATTTCAGGGAAAGGATATTTTCAGGCCGTGAACTTATTTAACGTGCCTCTCCTGGAAGCGCCTGCCCTTGGCGTGCTCGGAGGGGAGCCCGCGCGGGGCAGGTGCTGCTGCTCTGGGTCAGGTTTCCTCCTTGCTGTTGGATTTTGGGGGTGCTTTTTTTTTTTTTTTTTTCCTCTCTCTTTCGGTTTTAAACAAAGCCTTGAAGTGGGAAGTGGATCGAATGGTTTTTATTACTGTATTAACGTTCATTTTAATTCATTTCAGAAACTAACTCATTTCTCTTCCTGATTAGAATGGCTTAGAATTAGGCGAGCTGTAACCCTCCCGAAGTGCCTTATTTTCCTATATATGATATAAATATATTTATAAGAGTAATTATTCCACTTGTATCGTAGGGGTTTATTGCTGAGCAGAGGATGGGGTGGGAGGAGGGACGGGGGCCGTGCCCTGAAAGCCCCCGGCCACGCCAGGAGGGTGTAGGACGGATCCTCAGGGCGCAGGGCGTTACTCGCTTCAGACCAAAGGAGCTTCGGCGGTGAAACTCCGTTTAAAAACACAACGAAAAACCACCTCACGGGCAAAATCCTGCAGACTCGTTTGCTTTGGGTTTATTTTCACCCCTGCAAAGCAAAGGCTGGCGGCCAGGCCCTGCTGCCTGGGGTGCTGAGCCGCTGCCGGGGGGAGCGGAGCCAGGTCCGTACCTGCGCAGCCGGGCGCAGCCTCGCTGCCTCCTGCTCTCCCGTGTCACGTCTGCCTGTACTTTTCTCTGTCGGTTGCCGTGTAAGCCAGGCTTTCCTGCTGCTTTTTTTTTTTTTTTTTTTTTTTTTTATAATCGGCTCAGTAACCCCCGGATGAAGATCCCAATTGCAATTTATTTTTTTTTTTTTGTAATGTACGTGTAAAAAAAAAAAACCACGAAGCAAAAAAAAACAACAATTGTGATCCTTTTTTAAAACTGTAAACTTGATAAAAACCTTTCTATCCACTCGGTGCCTCCGTCTGTTACTGTGGGGGTGTGTGGGGAGCTGTGGGTGCTTCCTTAGCACGGGGAAAGGGGCTGGTCCTGGGCACTGGGGCTGCTGCTGCTTGCCTGGCTCTTAATTCCTCCTGCCTGGGAGCGTGGTGGGGTGCCGGGCCACGTGAGTGCCCTGCAGGGCATCTCCCAGGGCTGCTGGGCCGGAATTTGAGGAGCCTGGAGCGCTCGGTATTTCATCGAGGGCACCCAGGCTGCGTGCTGGAGGCTCCCGAAGGACACCGGTGCCGAGCTGCCTCCCCTAGGCCATCCCTGCAGAAATCCCCTCGAAATGCAGCCGGGACACGTTGGGGGGCACCGGGTGGGGGGAAGGAGCTGGTTCTGGGCAGCAGCAGCACCCAGAAAAAAGCCCGGAGGAGCTGCCAGCCTCGGCGTGCTCCCTGCTGCACAAAACGAGCCCCTGCTCCTGCTCGCAGAGCCGCTGCGGCTGGGCTGGCAAGGGGCTGCCGCTGATTTTTTGCCTCCATTTCAGCAGCTCAAGGTCCCTGCTGCCATTAATCTCCCCAGCCAGAGCCACGCTGGCTCGCAGCCCCGCTCTCAGGTGCGTTTTGTGGGCTCGGGGTGTGCCTGATTTTGGGGTGTGGGTCTTGCTGGTTTTGGGGGGCACAACAGAAGGATCCGGCCCTGCCTTCACCGCGGGCTGCGCTGTGCCAAATCCCCCTGGCTTCCAGGAGCCACCCGTGTGCTCGCGCTGCAGCGCTGCGCCTCTCCTGGCTGACAATAGTCCCTGGCTGCAAAACCTCATTAGATTAATTGGCCTTGCCAGCTTCTGAACAAGCAAAGCCCTTTACTCGTGCTGGGGCGCCGAGGGCAGGGGAAGGAGGCATCTCCTGGGCCTCGTGCTGCGTGTCCCGGCTGTTGGCTCCATCTCGTGTCCGGGAGGAGCAGCCTGGGGACCCCGGCTCCTTTTTCCATGCGCGTTTGGCTGCAGCCGGGGCGGCCTCGCTGCCTTTTGCTTTTTGGGGCCGCGTGCCAGCGCACCACAGCACACAGCCCCGTGCTTTTCGGGGGGTGCCAGCCCTCGCAAAAGTCATCTCCGCGTGCGTGCCGGGGGCGGTGGGAGCGCCGAGCTTTGTGCTGCTCCTCTGCAGGTACCTGGGGAGAGCTCCCGAAGCTCGAGGAGCCTCCCATCGGCTGCAGCTCCCAGCCCGGGCTTTAGCTCGGCGCGGGGAGGAGAAGCCCAGCAGCGAGATTAATTGCGTGCTGGTGCTCTCCGAGCCCGAGCCCTTTCCGTGAGCAGCAGTTTCCTATGGCGGAGCTGCTCGCAGCTGGGGAGAGTCTCTGGGGCTCCGCTGTGCCTTGGCACTCCGGCCCTGGCCGTGGCGTTTGATGTGTTTGTGTCTCTGTCTGCCACGCAGCTCGGCACCGGCTCACAGCTGGCCGGGCTCCGGCTTCACAGGAGCCCCCCGTCTCCCAAGACCTATTTAATTTTCTCCTTCAAGGTGGTGTTAGCAACACCCAGAAGATGCTCTGCCGGCTGCCTTGGACGAGTGGGCTGCGTGTCCTTTCCACCACTGACGTCAGCTTCTCTCCCTTAATTCCCCCTCTGGGACCGAAGCGAGTGCAGGCGCTGCCAGCTCCGATCAGCGTTAACAGCCTGCTCTCCCCGCGTGTGGCAGCGCGCTGCCGTGCCAATGTCACCCCCGACTCGCGCTGCCTCCCTCCGCCAAGCAGCCCCGGGTGGTGGGAGAGCGCTCCCCTCGGCCAAGTCCCCGGGAAGGGCCCGCTGCCAGCAGAGAGTCCCCGCTCCTCGCACGTAGGTGTGCTGAGATGGCAGCTCAGCCCCTGTAGAAATGGCTGACTCCTTTCTCTCTCTTTCTGCCTTTTTTTTTTTTTTTTGCCTTCCAATTTTTTATTTTTTTTATTTTTTTTTTTCTCCTCTGCCTTTGCTGTTGCCTACGCGGTTGTGTGGGGAAGGCAATCGGCTCCCGTGCTGCGGATGGCTTTATCTGTAACTCTTCCATCTGCTCACAGCAGCTCGCAAATAACCACGGGGTGCCAGAGGAATTATGTATTTGGAGCTCAAGTTTCTGCAGGCTGGCAGGGCAGCGGCTCTGCGCCGGGCTCATCCGCTCCCACAAAGGCCAGCGCCTGCGTGCGGAGGGCTTAAAGCAGCCGGCGCGGGGCTGGGGCTGCGGCCAGGGCCAAATCCTGCTCCGAAATTACGCTCCCTGTCACCAGGGTGACTGAGACAAAGCCGCAGCCTCGAGCCAGCGAGGGAGCCCTGGGCACCCCGCGGCACCGCCAGGCAGCCCCGGGGCTCGTGGGGCGATGCCGCCTCCTGCATCCGTGGATGCTGCAGGGAGGCTGCGAGGCACAAAGCAGGGTGCCCCTAAATGGGAGGCTGCGGGGTGCGAGGCGGAAAGCAGGGTTCCCATAAAGGAGAAGCCGAGAGGCAGAAATCAGGGGTTTCCATCCATTTTGGGGGCTTTTTTTGTGCATGCTTTCCCACCCCAAGCAGCGCTCTCAGCTGGGCGAAGGCGCCCTCCCCCTGGGAAGCAGCCGATGCGCCCTGGGGCCAAGGCTCTGGTGGTGGTGATCAGGACCGAGGCACTGCAGCCCCTGCGCCCTGAATCCCCTGCTCCTTCACCCCCTGCTCCTGCAGCCCCTTTTCTCCTCCAGCCCCTGCCCCCTGCCCCCTGCCGCCCTCGGCATTTGGCGAGGCGCTGACAGCGGGGCCGCCTCGGCTTCATTTCCTGCCTGCTCCCGCTTCCAAGGAAACAAAATCCCCCAAGCCAGGGCTGAGGTTTCTCATTTTAAATGGAACCCAGGCCAATAACCGGAGCTGCTCGGCCCCCTTTATGGCCTGCAGGTCCCAGCTCGGGGGGCCGGGGGCCGTGCTCCCCCCCCCTGGCTGCGGCGCGGGCAGCGCTCGGCTCGGTGGCAGGCAGGTCAGTTGGGTTTTGGGGTGCTGGGGGGGGTTTGGGGTGGCACCAGCCTCTCTCTCTCCTTCCTCCCAGCTGGTTACTGGGAGCACTGGTGCCCGCTGCCCTTGCTCCCAGCAAAGGCCACGAGCTTGGAGCCACCACCGAGCCCACTGCTGCCCACAGGCTGGGGCTGGGGGGGGCAAAACCCACAGCCCCACACCACCCCGGACCCTTTGCTCCATGGCACGGGCAGGGTTTGGGGGCGAGGGGCTGCCCCGTGGCACGGGGGTGGCTGCGCAGCACTCGGGTGCCTCCTATAAACTGGACTCTTTATTTTTGTAACTCCTTTTTGTGCCTTTTTTCACCAAAAAAGCGTGGCACAGGCTCCGTGCCGCCAGCTCCGTCCCCCGACGTCCTGGAGCACCCAGGGGTGGCTCTGGGTGCACAATGGGGGGGCGAAAAACCCCAACCCAGACCCCGGCTTTCCCCTTTCCCACCCTCACCCCCGGCTCTCCCCATCCTACAGCAGGAGGGACTGGGCTGCAGGGATGAGCCCCAGCGCCCGATTCCCACTCGGGGGGGGACCAAGGTTGCTTTGTGCTGCTTGCATCCCAATGGGACGATGCGGGTGGGATTTGGGAATTTGGGAATTTGGGGATTTGGGGATTTGGGGACCTGTCCCAGGGGAGGTGACAGGAGGGACCTGCAGGGAGGTGGCTGGGAAGACGTCAGCAGGGCGAGCATGAGGCAGAGAAGAGCCGGGTGAGCTGCCGGGGGGGGGGACGGGGACACGGGAAAAAATGGAGAGAAAGCGCCCGTGAGTGCAGCTGGGAACCGCGTGGTCCTGCACCACCGGGGGAGGTGGGCTTGGGAACAATCCCCCAAAAAAAGGGACGAAGGAGTCCGTGATCCACCCCAAGTGCGCCCCCAGGGCATCTCCAACACCTGAGCTTTGCTCCTTTCCCCCCGGCTTAACCTCGGGGGGGGCAAAAGGGGAGCCCCAAATTCCCCATCCCTGTCCCTAGCCCCAGCCTGGCTGTCACCCCCCCAGCACCCCCCATCCCACCCATGTGGGGGTGCTCAGGGAAACCTGCAGCTCCCCAGGACGGTGCTGGGCGGTGAGGGCAAAGGGCACGAGGTGCAGAGCCCCATTCCCTGGGGGGGGGGGGGCGAGCTGCCCTAATTAACACCCCGGTGATTAACCCTTATCAGCACCACCGCTGGGCACCCCAAGTTGTGTTCCAGTGCCCAAGCCAGGGGGGGTCATCATCAGCCCTCGCTCTGTTTGGGGCATTATTTCTGCCCTGGGGGGGGCTGCACGGCCGTGCCCCCCCTGCCCTCACCTGGGAGCTGCTTTGAGGCCGGGGACCTGGGTGCTGCCCCCCCCCCCGGGGCATGGATCCCACTATCAGGATGTTTTTTTGGGGGGGGCTGTCACTTGGGGGTGCAGGGGACAAAGGGAGAAGGCCCTGCTTGGGCACGGGGGGGGGGGGCACCAGCTCGCCCCCCCCCCCCAGCTGACACCACACAGCCGCACGTCACCGTATCACAAATTATATTTTTATTTCCCCCCCCCCAGAGGTTGTAAACAAGAACCAGCCCCGTGCCCTGTGCAACACCGCAGCGAGGATTCCCCCCCTCCCAGCCCAAGGGGCTCCCT